GGTAGAAGTAAAATTGCTATATTCCTACTTCATAGTGGATACTGCAAGCATAATAGGTAGTGCTGATATAGCTCCCCTGAGCTGACTGACTGCCATGTAATTTAGCCAATATGACTGTAAATATTAGCCTTAGATAGCTCTCAGACATTTGTAGCCCGAAAAATAATCCTGAGAATCTTGGGTACAGTTCTTGGTGCTTACTCAAGTAAGCTGAAATGGGACTTTAAACTTTCACTCTACTTTGGTTCTTCTTAACACAGCTCAGAGAGTTTCCTTCTTGTATTCCTTTTTGCATTTACTTCCTACTATGAAAGTTTTTTTATAAGAGAAGTTGCTTAATATGAGAACAAGGGATAAATACACAATTGGAGTTGTTTTAAACAGAGGTAGAAGCTTGTTCCACTTTAGTGTGGTTATCATTGTTTATTTAATAATGTGTTTTCTCAATGTAAACCTTAATGGTGAGATCAAAGGCTGTTATGCTTGCTATAACTTTAGAACACAAATCCATGAAATCAACTTCTAGCTACAAATGCCAGCCTGAAAAAAGCCTCACACTTTCTTCTTGGTGTGTGCTTGTCAACACACACATTCTGTACAATGTGATAAGACACTTGTAGTTAACATGTGCATGCAACCAAAATAGATTAAAGGCATGTGCTGAAGTTTTTGAGACAGTACAGACTAAACAATCAGGAATTTAAGGCATGTTAGAAACAGGAAGGGAAAATAATTGTGCTCATTTATTCAGTTTTAAAATGAAACAAAAATTATTACATAGCCTTCTAATTGACAGTCAGAAATTAGTTTTTTGAAACAGTAAGCATACAAAAAATTGTGTTTAGGAATATGAGAAAAACACTCTTAAGTTTACTGAAAAGTAAGTACAGTAGATTGCCCCACTGTATTTGCATTTGTATAATCAAAGTTCCAGCAGGCAGCTGCTTACTTCATAATATCTTTAAAAACTTTGTGTTGCTCCTGTGGTCTATAAGCATCTGGCCCTTGTGTCCTTATCAATGTCTATGTAATTCCCTTGCATGGGATGCAAGACTCGGATGACAAAACTGTCATGCAGTCAGAATTCTGGTTTAGCCAGCTGCATGCACAGGGCAGCAGAGCTGGGTGCCTTGCTGGGATCCTGCAGCATGCTCTGCTTTCCATGCAATATGCTAAGCATTCTCACATCATAGAATCTTAGCTATTCTAAAGAGCACCGAGGAAAACTAGCTCATTTGTGTCCTGAAAGGTTGGCAATTCCTATTTTGGGTCATTATTCTTAAAATGAGTTCTAATATACACTAAAAACCTGGCAGTTCTGCAGGTCTATTAAGCTAGCTTGAAGAAATTTCTGTGAAGTCCTAACACGGCTGCCTGATGAAAAGGCAAAAAGAGAATTTAAACGAATAGCAGAAGTCAGAATTGCTTTGCATTTAACACTGCCTCATGCTCTGCCCATTAAAATGCATTTTTTGTTCTTGGTAAGATTTGTTTTTGCCAAGCTGCTGTTCAGGTTCCTAGTAATCATCTACAGGTTGTTAAAATTGCCCTTTTCACCATGCATTTGATATGTAAAAAACTGATTCTTCTTGTGTTAGGCTGTGAGAATGGTAGCTGATGCTTCCCAGCTGCTGAGACAGATAAGGCATTTCATGACAGTTTAATGAAAAATGTTCTGTTCTATCTCCTGCACTCCCCACACTTTTCTCATCAGCCTTTTTTCCCCTCAGCAAAAGTGCAGCTAGGCCATGTGGCCTAACATCTTATTCCCCTGCTGCTGACCCAGCCCAGACATGACATCGGTACTGGGACAGGATATGTCAGCTTCCTCAAGGCAGAAGGGAGCATGATGTAGGAGGAACTGAGCTGGAAAGTTCTCAGGGGATGAGAGGGGTGTATTACAAGTCTCATATTTTAAGCAAGCAGAATGGAATCTCTTGGAACAGGCAGACAGATATTTGCTGCTTAGATTTTTATCACTTACAGGCAGTTCATACCAAGTCAAGGACTTTAGGACAAGTTTGAGATAATATGAAAGAGGGGGCAAAAGCAGGCCAATTGAGTAAGTCAAAGTCGTTTAAAAAGGTCCAGAAGAAAGTGATTGGGACTCAGAAAAATGAGGCCAGCAGCTAATACAAAATAAAGCAACCCACTTCCACAGAAAGAAACAACCCATTTTTGTAGACAGCCAAAATCATGTGAAAGTGGTGTTATTTTAGTGCAGCTGCTGTGCTTATGAACCATATCTTAATCTGTCTTTGATAACTTGCTGCTTTAGATATACCCATGGGTGCCTCAGGCTATATGTAGCCTAAAAGCCATCAGTCAAGAACAAAAGGTGCAAAAGTGGTACCTTTATTATTATTACCTGTTTGTTAAGGGGTTTTGCCAGGTCTTGAGGGTTAGAGAAAATGGCAGAAGGACAGCAACACTCTTAAGTCCAGGCTTTTAACTGCTGTGCTGAGGGAGTTTTCAAAAGGCCAAACTGCCCTCAGAACTACTTTGGGCTGTCCAAGCAGCACTGTAAGAATAAGTGCCTGGCCTAGTACCCCTCTGTTCCATGCCACTAGAAGGGATGAGGTGGTGTCTCTTTCTGTCTTATTCATAGATGGGGAGATGGCATGTTTTATGTTTTCTTCCCTTTGTTCCCTATCTTTTCCACCTGCCATTTGTGAGTGTTCCGAGGTCAGAGATTCAACTGTTAAGAGAGAGAGCTTGAAACTTTGTAAGGTAACACTGACTTTTAAAAACCAAAGCAAAAATTGAATGTTTTAGAAGACAGACAGAGGCATAATTGGTATTAAAAGTTACACAGCTATTGAAAAAACATGTCCCAAGTTGCAGTTCAGTCAGGTGAAAGAGGCTACAACAATTATCAGATATGTATTTAATCATACCAATAATCACCCACTATACACAAAATAGCACAATATACAGGGTCATTGGGTCATCAGGGATATTCTCTCTCTAGTTAGGGGAATATGATCAATTCAGAGTCCATCATCTACTTATAGTTCTGGAAAGCAAATAGGCAACTACAAATTCACCTAATGTAGGTAAAAATTTGATGAAGGATTGATCATTGATCACTCAGCAAATCTGATGTAAAAGCACCACCAAGTTAAGAAGCCTTTGTCCATAGTTTTGTGGATATTGGAGTGGTATTTGACTTCATCAGTGGATAAAAAAGTATGACTTGTGTTCCATCTGAACAGTACTGAGTGAGCAGAAGGGTTTCAGAGACTTTTTTATTGTTTTGTCCTTTAGACAAGTGTAATATGCAAAATGCTAGAAATAATTACATTTTGTTTAAAAGTTGAAAAGATCCACCTGAAGTGTAAGTTTAGCCAAGGCCACAAACTTATGTGAGTTTCAAATGCATGTAGTACTTACCATGCCAAAGCCTCTCAAGGCTTTTTATAGATGATCTACTATACACAGTAAATGAATGAAAACAAGCAAATCTTTGGCTTGAGAGGCAACTGCTGAAATACTCAGCAACAAAAGCAGCAGAGACAGAATGTATGAAAGTGAAAGAATGAAACAAGGTCAATAAAGAGTACCTAAGGCACCTTGTTTAGTAATCATCTTTGCTACACTCCTTAAGACCTCCAAATAACAAATAAAAGCTGTAAATGCTAAGGAATGTGAAGATGAAATAACTGAGGAGACTGAAGATGAAAGAGCAGAGGACAAAATACATTATTCTTTTTTGTAGTTAAAATTCCCATGATCAAAGGATGTGAATAAATATATTCTTTTAAGTGATAATGAAGTTAAGAGAAGAATCAGAGCTAGGAAAATGAATGAAAGGAGGAACCAGTACCATTAAGAGTAGGTTCATTTGATATTCATGAATTGCAAGTCAAAGTGAAGTAGAAAAGAAGGCTGGAGATTGGGATATTTCTTGTATTGTCTAGTGCATTTCTCAGTCTCAAGTACAATGGGAAGGGGGAAATATCCCCCTTAATTTAAAAAACAAAAGAATAGGAGAGTCCAGTCCATACTTGCTTTAGGAATATGCTCTGTAGAGCAGGAACTACAAACCTGTCCTTGCAAAAAAAAAAAAAAAAAAAGAAAAGAAAAGGAGAATTTTAAAGAGGCCTGGGAATTCTGTTTATTCGAAAATAAATAAATTCATTACTGCCCTAATTGAGACTTTCATCAAATGCAGTCTGTAGTGGACTGGTACTATAAGCTACATCTGATGACAAGCTGGTTAAGTCTTGGTTTGGCCATTCCTCCCTGCAAATCAATATCAATTATTAAAAAAAGAGCAGGGAAGAATTCTATTACTACTCTGGGTCAGTACAAGATGGTTTGGTAAAGTGAGTCAGATCTATTGAGTTGGCTTCCTTTTCTTATAGTTGAAAATAGAGCATATAATTAAAGCTCTCTTTGACATAACTGGCTTACTACAACTTTGATGATCTGGGTGCAAGATGTTCAGTCAGCTTCCAAATTTGTGTTCCCTCCCTACTGCTAGCCAGAGGGAAATTTATCCTTTCATATACTTTTCAAGAAAAAAAGCCAACAAACCTCTATCTATCTCAGTCTCTGGCCTTATTTGAATACTAATTCCTTTATGCACACCTGAAAGTTTCAAAACACCATGAGAGATTGAAAGGAGAAGTTGCTGAGAAATCTGTAGGTATCCAAATGTGTACAGCAGAGTAGGAAGTCAGGTCAGCTGAATGCTTCTGGGGATATAAATACTTCTAAGGGGTGGTTTTTTCCACATAGCTTTTGGACTATCAAACTAAAGTCTGCAATAGCCAGAAGCCTGCTTACATTTTAATGCATATTAATTAAAAACTGTACAACAGCATTTAGTGTTCATGAAGATGATTGTTACGCTTTTGGCATTTTTAGGAAAGCACATCAAGCTTTAAAGTAGAATAAGACTACTGTCTTTCAGTACCTAGACTTTGTGCTCATGAAGTACAAAAAGCACAGACCTTTTCCTCATGGTCTGCTTTTGCCTTGTGTTCTCCCCTCAGGTATGGCCCATTTCCTGTTCCCTCGGAGCTACCTTTGGCTATATGGCTGGTCTGATTATTGCACCTCTGTGGATACACTGGAACCGGAAGCAGCTTACATACAAAAGCAGATAACTGGAGCAAAAAGAGACAAGGTATTTCTTTGTGCAGATTCCATACAGGCTGTGCAAAAGTTGGGGGTTTTTAAGATATATATATATATATATATATAGTCAAAGCAGAAGACTGTCCAAATTCAGTTAGAGTATTTCAGGCCAAGCATCTCCACTCCGTAAAATCACATAGATGCCATTTCAGCATGGTGCAGTTTTTGCTTCCTCTAGACTGTGTAACCCTGAGAGATTGTACCTTCCAGTCTGAATAAAATATTTGTAACAGATGTGGTGGCTTCTTATTACAAGTTCGTTGAGTTTGATTTTATTCCTCTGGATTTCACTGGTTGTAGAAGGCAGAAACGTAGGTTTAACTTTCAAACCGGCAACAAATTCACTATGTACTTAATGCATTGTATTTAAAATCAGTAGAATTTCACAGTAAGCCTGGCCATTGTCAAATGCCTCTCACGTGATCAAACAGCAGTTTATGCATCTTGAGCCTATTCTCTTCTTCACTGTGTGTTTCTTTGGAGTTAGAATGGCTATAATAGCTTCATCAAAAACAGTCTTCAGTCCTTTCTGTGTTAAAGCTGAACACTCCACGTAACAGTAGGCTCCTATCTGTCAAGAAAATAAGTTAATTCAATAGCAGTATGTCTCAGCTGTTCAGTTCCATCTGAGCACTTCTGCTTTTTTTTTCTCCCCCCATAGCAACATTACAATGTTTGGCTGCAATCTAAAAAAAGTTATCTGAATGTGCACCCCTGTAGGAGAAGATAATTTTTATCTTTTGCCAAAGATCTGGAAGGTATTTAAGTTGGTTGGTTTCTGTGGGAAAGAAGTAAGTTCTTTAGATTGGCAGTGGATGCCTAAGATATGGTTGATAATTAAAGAGCAAAAAATTATTACATTACACATTTGTGTTTCAAAAATAAATGCTCTGTAAGTGTCCTGATAAGCATTATCCACACAGTAGTTACAGTGGTAGTATAACATTCTCAAATAGTGTCTAAAAGATGCTTCCAGCATTTTGCTTGAGCAGGAGAGGTCCCTTCCAACCTCCACCAGTCTGTGGATTTTAATTATCTTTGAGTAATATTTACATAGCTTGTATAGCTTTTACAAGTGTCTACACTGAAAATTAGAACTGTTACTGACAAGAAAGTATAATTACATAGGTCTACTCATTAATGTAAGTAAGTGTTGTTAACTGGTAAGCAGTCACAAGATTTCATATGTGGACTGCTAAAATATATGCAAAAAGTGGTAAAGGAAGACTAAGTCAAGTGGAAATAGGGGTGTTTTGTTGTTTTGTTCTTTGTTACTTGGTTTCATTTAGGAGTATCCAGTTTACCTCTTTTGCTAACTTCTGTCCTTGCTCCACAGATACGGGCTTCTCTTTCATATCATTCAGTCTTGCCAGAGTTTTTGGGTCATCACGGAGATCAATCTAGCAAGAAAGATTGAAGTCATGCTGGAATACTTTCTCTAAACAAAAGTCAGCAGGCAATGATACCCTCTTTTTAAAGGAGAATCATTCAATGGAATATTATCACTATAAAAATGGAGTCATGGCATGATTCAGATTGTGGACCCTTCCTGATTCAAGAGCCCTCAATTTAAGTTGTGAACCTTTAATCTAGAAGGAAGAAACATTTATTCTGTAATTCAGCACTTCAATTAGATGTGATCATCTTAGAACACCAATTGCAGTGGCAGAAAGATAACCCATAGGTAACACCAACATGTGGGTCACTTCATAAATGAAGCCCAGTCCACTACCCATGAGAAGCAAGAAGAAGTTGTCTCATTTCTCCCCTTTTCCTTTGCTTCAGCAAATATTGCATGTGACTAATAGTTGTTAACCCAAGAAATTCCAGTAACATGGGCATGAGCAGACAATTTTATTCAATAAGTCCCATGACTTTTTAGAAAGTCACATGGGAGACATGCAGCCCATCTTGCCACCATGTTTACAATGGACATAAGTTTTTTTAACAAATGGGGATAGCTCATTGGAGAACAGCACGTATCTGTGTTTTTCTGCCACCTGTAAAAGGGTTGTTCCTCCAAAGACAGAAGGAGGTGCTGCTCAGGTCCTGTTGGGCCTCAACTTCCAGCTCAGAGAAAAGGCACCATACAGTGATCCTATTTGCTTAAATAAAAGTAGAACAGAACCAAATATACCTGTGTTCCTACTAGTAAAAAGGGAACATTAGGTGCATATTCCTTCAACTCCGGTACCCACTCTTCCTTCACATTTTGAAATGAAGCAGGGTTTACCACTGAGAAGCAGATAAGGAAGACATCGGTCATAGGGTAAGATAAAGGTCTCAGACGATCATAGTCTTCCTAAGGAAGAAAAATTCTGTTATCTGCAATATTAAGTTGTTGCCTGTATTTTAACAGTTATATTCAGAAACTGTATTTGTATTTCATGAAGGTTGTTGAGGCAAACTTTCTGAATGTTTAAAACTATTCCAAGTTAGTTAGTGTTGCTGTTAGAGCAAAATTTACATATGAAGATAACTATATGTGAATGTAAATATTTTGAAAAATGTGTTAATACTGATAGAAACTTCCTTCTCTATGAGAATATACAGATGATTACCATTCAAAAAGTTTTCACTTCAGGAAAAAAACAAAAGACTTATGGTTCAAACATACTTGCAGATCAAAGACTACTATTTGTGGAGAAATGAGCAGGTGTGACTGCTGTAGAGTCATCCAGGTTATACAAAGCTAGACTAGATTAAGGCTGTTTGATGCACTTAAATCTTCTATTTTGGATCATACACAGAGGTGATATTTAAAGCCCTGTGTAGAATTTTGTTTCTTAGAAACCTTAGAGTCCTGTTCCTGGTGTTCAGGGCAGTAGGAAGGATGAGAAAGGACCTCTTTTGTCTGACTGTGCTTTCTACTAGCAAGCCCAGCAAAGGATTAGATGGAACAGAAATTCAGAATCAAGAACACTATGGAATATTAATGCCTTTGTTTATTTGTTTGTTGGAAGTGTGGGAGAGGAGTTAGTGTGAAAAAGTTATTTAGGACATTTAGAGCCCCAGCATTTAAAGTCAGCAGTCCTACTGCCAGGGTATACCACACTGTGGCAAGACAAGTACCTAGGAGCATTGCCCCTCTTGTAAATCAGAGTTCTCTCTAGCAAAGGAGAAAGTGGATTTTTGCCCCATGTTTTAGCTAACAGCCACAGGGAGCATGCCCTTCTGCAGAGCTTCTCTCTGCAAGGCTTCCTTTGGTCTTTGGCAGTGAACCAATGCCTTACCATTCCTACTATAGAGTTTTGGTGGTTTTTGCAACATAGATAACTAAGACTGAGGCCAGGCATTGCAGTGACACTAACAAATGCTGGATTTATACCTTCCACAGTAAACACCAGTTTATTAGGGCTGCTGCAGCAGTTTCCCTTTTTCCCATGTAAACTCCCCATCTTAATTAAATCTCACAAATACTGCAATGATTCATTCATTACACATAGAGGCAGAAATGTAATTCAAGTCCATGTTTGAAATGAGACAGAAAATTAAATTTTTGTTTCCTTGGGAACAGCCACATTACCAGATTATTAACCTATAGTCACACCCTCAGAAACGCCCTGCATTGATTTGTTAGGTTTTAAACATGGTCACTTGAATTTCAGAAAAACTGTGAGAACATCCTCAGAGCAGTTTCTGCTTGGCTCATTTTTCCATTTGGAAGTCAACAGCTGTGGGAAGAGAGCTGTTATTCTCATGAACTGGAGGAAAGACAAGCCCAAGCAGAAATTCTGCAGTAGCAAGGAGGTGATCATTCCCCGTCATATTCTTGTGCCATTTTGAGTATCCACTCTAGTTTTGTAAACAGGCTTGTCAATTAGCTAGAGCATGTTAATTGTTGACAGGGCATCCCAGTTTCACAACCAGAGTAACTGACACCACTTTAAAGCTACAACATTTGACAGGCCTTTTCCCTGCCAGTGTCAGGCTCTTGCCCTGATTCAGAAGAAAGAAACAGTAACCATGTCTCTTCCAAATGTGTGGACATTCATCATAGAATGCAGAAATAACTTCAAAACACCAACACAGGAAGTTAAAACTCTTTTAGCATGCAGCTAGATTTTTTAGACATGTATTTTATGTTTCACTTCTACTGCTGAATATAGCTAGATCCTGCTCAGGGTTGCACTCTGCTTTTTGGGGCGGAGATTAAAATCCTAAAAGAAACTTCTCAACTACCAATTACTCTGTTCCCTGGAGTACAAAATCTGCATGAAAACACACAGTGGACCCATCAGTTGCTCTGAAATTCAGCTCTAAATCATATGTGGGGTATTAGTGAATAAGTTGTATTTTTTAAAAATCTACTTAAAAGCTGTAATTTGTTCCTACTGCCAAACAGCTGCCATCTCTATACTCTACATTTTCTAAAAATCTCATATCTGGATTAGGGTAACTAGAATACTGCCTGCAATAAAAGCTGGAATGGAGAAAGCCTTTCACTGTCACCAGAAATTACTGTTAGTCCATAAACTTAAAATAGCTCTTTAGTTAATCCGTTTCAAATTACAGATGGACCTTTTATTCATAGCAAATATTAATCATTTTCTTAAAGCCAGTCTCAGGTCTGAACTCCTTTCCTGCTCCTGCATTTGTTTGTGTGCCTTTTGGTTTATACCCTGTTCCACTTGCACTGGGCCAGCTGTGGGCAAGTGTAATTAAGAGTTAAACAGAAGGCAGGTACAATGTGATTGGATACATCATGTACCACAGCCAAAGATGTGTGTGCTCTTTGCTGCAGTGGCTTCACTGCATTTAAGCTTCCTTAAATTATCAGAGAATTTGGCTATACCCACCAGCCCTGCTGCTTGAAACATGACAGTGCTCTCAGGCTCTCCTTTGAACCTTGTGTATGCTCTGAACATCAGGTGTGCATTGACACCAATAGTGGCACCCATGATTGGACTGGTCCTGAGTCCTCCTGGGAGAAACCCTGGTTAAATTTTGCCAGCACCTAGTATGCCATCTGGGCTTAAACACTCCTTCTGCCTCCCAACAGCCCCTCAGAAACAGCAATAAAACCTGTAAACTTTCTGTGATGTATTGAGCCAGCATAACTGCTACAACTGGTAGAAGAATCTGAAATACCAAATTAATTTAGACTGAATGTTAGAGAAGCCTGGAAAAATCTTATTGCTTCAACTATAATTTATTTCCTCAATCTAGTGTAAGGGAAATAAATGTGGTTAATTCTAAATTGAAATGCAATGGCAAAATTGATTATACTAGCCAGTCAACATAGATTCCAGTTTGAGTGCATGTACATACCACACTATACAGCAATTAGATAATTAGACAATCTGGGGGAGGCACTGCATATATAGACTTTAAAAATATTTAAGGATATTAGCAGGAATATTTTAAGAATGTGAATAAGATGGGCAAGAAAGCCCCTAAGGATTGAAATAGTCAGTATAAGTCTCAAATACTTGAGGCTGTAATAGTGAAACAGCTCATTATCCAACATACTATAGAGTTTAAAAGAAATTGTTTGCTGAAGCAGGTGAATACAGAAAATATGAGGGCTATATTAACTTGAAACAAAACTGGACACAAGAATGTTGATTTAATTAATGTTCTGTGGAGCTGTGATCCCTCTAAAGGACGTGACACTACAGCAGGGCTGTTCATAATTTCCCTAGTATCCCTGTGGAAAGCCAGGACAGCTGCTAGTACACAACAGACATAAAGAAGGAGATGAGATGAAGGAGCTAAGGACTTGGCTTCTCAACTACAAACAGGGGGTTTTGTTTTTAAAGTGGAGAATAGAAATTCAGGCTTTAAAATTACCATGTCTTCTTATGGTAGGCTGAAGGTATGTCTAGTATTGCCTTTATCTTGGTTCCTTAAAATCTATCCTTTAGATCTCCTTTTCCATGTTACAGTACCTAATCATCTGCCTGAGATTTTCTGCAGCCTTGTATTTGAATATTGTATTTTGGATAGTGAAGATGATTTGCTCTAACATGTCCAGAATCTGGATGTTTCTAACATTTGCCTGTCCAGAAACAGAGGTCTTGGGAAACTTTTTGTATGCAGACTGAAGAATGGTATTGCAGCATTATAATATTCTTCATTTCATGGGTTTGCTCAGACCAACAGCAGAACACAGTGTCCCATTTCAAGTCATGCATTTCATTTTGAACTGATACTTTTGCCCAGTTCTGTGGATATCAGCTGAGACTCAGCTAAAGAAAAGGAAACTGTATTCCAGATTCTGCCACTGACAGAGTATGTAGTCCTGAGCAAATCATTATCCTCTCTCTGTTTGCATCCTCCCATCTGTAGGGGTTTGCTAGCTTAATAATGCATTAGTCTTTGCAAAGCACTCCAAAAGCCTTTGATGTACACAGCTTATGTGCAGTGGGATATTTTAAAAAAATAAACTCAGACAAAGTGGAGTATAATAATTTCTGGACAACCTTCTTGACCCACAGAAAGCACTATTTCTTCATATTTATTAGAACACTGAGGTGCGAGGCGCTGACATGCAGAGGTTCTGTGTGTAGAGACCTTGTGGCTCCCCTG